GGTCTAGGATGCTGGTCGCCTTCTTTGCCCTCTGAGCACATGCTGGCTCATCTCCCAGCTGGCTGTTGACCAACCCCCAGTGTCCTCCTTGGCTGTGCTGCCATGTGCCTCTAAAGCAGCGCTGGAGCAGGCAGGGAGTGAGCCCAGGGGTGCTCTGAGCACTGTCCTCTTACAGTTTTGGAGGGCAGAGACCTCTTGAGCTGCCCAGCCCGTGGGGCTGGCATTCATCACCCAGCCCTCTGGGTATCTCCAGCTTCAAAGGAGGGCTTGGGGGTGGTTTCACCCCACAACGCTGTGCTGGCTCTTGCACAGCCTTGCTGCCCCACTGCTGCAGGACTCCACCATGTCCCCTCCCAGGCTTCATTCTGCTCAATGGGACAGACAGAACTCTCATCCCATCCTCCCCCAGGGACAGGGTGCCATGCTGGAGCTCTGATGCTGGGCAGAGTCACCCATGGGCACGGGCAGGGGGTTCCAGGTGGGTGGGTGGGACCTGGCTGGAGCAGGGCTCTGCAGGTGGTGCTGGTTTGCCCTGTGGGTTGATTTGGTGCATGGGTTAAAGTGGTTGGTGCTCAGCGTGCTGGTCACCCCAGTTGCTGTGCTGGTGAAGCAGGGCTGTGGCACCATGGTTGCTCTCAGAGGGGGGCTGGTGCAGCTCCCTTTGTGTCCATGCTGGAGGAGGTCTGGCTGAGGGGCTCCAGAACCTTGCAGCAGCAGCAAGCTCAGTGCAGCAGATGACTCTGCCCTTTCCATCCATCTAAAACAGGTTGGAGGAGTCACACCCCACGAGTGCCTGCTGCTCTCTCAGTGCTGAAGGGACTCTGGATGGGAGCCTTGGACAGAGACAGCCATGAGGAGAACTCAGATGGGATGGGTCCCAACCTGAGGGGCTTCACTGGGGAATTAAATCTCTGGGGTCCTCAGCAAGGCCTTAGCCACAAAACCATTCTTCTGCCATTGTTTTGCTCTCTGTATTTGGCTGAATCTCTCCATGTCTGGAGGCATTTGGACTTGGGGAGCAGCAGAGCATCTGCTGCATGCTGGATTCCAGGGGACATGGGGATGCTCCAAGCACCACTGGCCTCAAAGCACACTGCAGGGCTGGAGCCTGGCCTTGGGCTCCTCATTTTCCCCTTCATTTGTTAACATTTGCAATTAGGACACTTAATTTTTGCAGCAGAAGATCCCACTGTGCAGTTTGACTGGAAACAAGAAGGTGGAAGGATGGGCTATAAGGGATGCTGAGCTGGTCTCTGAAAGCAGCAGAACTGGGCCCTGAGGTCCACGTGCCCCTCTGGTGGGTGCACCAAGGGTGTGGTGACTCCAGTGGTGGTGCACAGCATGGGGCTCCCCTTAAATCCCTCAGCAGCTCCCAGTGCAGGGGTGACACCTGTCTGCAGGGGTTATCAGTGGGTATTCCAGTCCTGTGTTGCTCTTCCTGCAGATGAGGAACCTTGGTGGGAGCAGAGCATTGCCATAGCAGTGGTCCACCCAGCTCAGAGTCCAGTTCCAGGCAGTGCCAGAGGCTCCAGGGAGAAGGGCCAGACACTGTAAGGGGTGATGCATGCCCCGGGGAAGCCCTCCTCCCAAATTCCCCTGTGAAAAGTTGCCCTTGACCCAAAGTGGAAGAGTTTCAAACCCTTCCAAGGCTCCTAGGTAACAGACACAGTACTTTCTAGACCAGAGATCCTTTTTACCCATACCACATTTAGGAAGAACATCTCAAGAGCACTCCTGGTTTCCTTTGTGTTGCTCCTGCTTTGTTCTGCTGATGCTGCTGAGTGGCTTTAGGTGAGCAAGAAGTGCTTCTGAACATCCCACAGGGATGTGGCTCTGGCTCAGGAGGGTTTTCCTTCCCCTGAAGGACCTGTGTTGTGGAGGAGTGCCTTTTCCAGTGCTCTTCCTTGGGTCCCTCACTGCCAAAGAGCTGTGGGGGTTCTTGATGGAGACAGAGAGACACATCCTGAGGAAGCAAAGTGACCTCATTGGGATGCTGAGCACCTCCTGTGAGCACCTGAGCATGCAGAGTTAGCTCGAGATGTGAGTTTGGGATAGTGCCCAGTTTTCAGGGGAGAAAAGCTTTGAGCAGAATAAATATTTACCAAATCAATTGACTTTTTCTTTCCCCTTTCTCCCTATTTGCTTTAGCTCCATGGGTAACCACGTTGTAATGACACTTTATGCTGCAGAGGGATGAGTCAGCCAGGTCTGGGGCTTTCAGCCCCTCTGGCCTTCAGGAGCTCTCTGCTGTGGTGGCATCTGTGGGTGTCTCGAGGCAGGGCTGCCCTCAGTGCTGGTGCAGGACCAGGGTGGGGGTTTCTGCCTCCTGCCCCCCTGCTCCTGTGCTGGGTTTTAAGCTCCCTCTTTGGCTGCTCCACCACCACCTCTCTTGTCTGCCTTTCCCTTCCAGGTCCGAGAAGTGTAGTGCTTCTGAAAGCTGTGAACCAGGTGAGGAATAGCTCAATTTCTCTTGTGAAATAGTGATGCCAGGCAGGGAGGGGCACTAGAGGAAGCTGCCTGCAAAGTCCCTTGGATGTGTGGCACCTGGTTGCCCCACAGTGAAGTTTTCAAGGGTCTTACCCTGTGACCCCTCAGCTGGGGGTCCCAAAAGTACAAAAATTTAACTAAAGAGAGTTAAGCATGTGCTCAAATGTGAAGCTAAGGGAAGTCTTCAGCCTGAGTTCCCCTCTCCCTGAGAGCCCCCACGACTGGGTCGCTGGGAAGTCAGTGGGGTGTCTGTTCTGAGCACCACAACTGAGAAGGAAATGCTTCTCCCCAGGGTGAGGGGCTTGGAGCTGTTGAAGAGCCACAGCAGAGCTGGCTGTGCTGCCTGCCCAGGCCAGGACTCAGCCCCTCACACCGGATCAGTCCCACCCCAAGTGAGGAGATTCCTCTGGAGCTCAGAGGCAGCTGGGCTGAGCACCGTGGGCACATCCTGCCCGGGCAGGCTCCCTTCTGCTGGGGGTCAAACCACACTGAGTTTTGCTGGTTGCATCCTGGTGTGATGCAGCTCCTAGAGCACGGGGCTGCAGAGGGGCACGTCCAGGCGTGGGTTTGGGAGCATTAAAAATGCCAGGGGTGCCCACAGGAGATGACTCCTCCTGCATCCCCACCAAGCTTGCTGGTGACCCAGTTTAAGTGCAGAAAGCCAGGAAACGAGCATGTAACGAGGGCCAGTGGCCAGTCTGAGGGGCCTCAACAGCTCCTGCCAGGCAAGCTGCTCACAGAGCCCATGCCCACAGGTGCCCTTGGGGTATCTCCATGCCATGGGCTTGATGCCACTGGGCCCCTTGGCCGAAGGGATGCTCACAGCACCAGTCTGGTGGGCAGGCGTGGTGTTGCTGGTGCCCGTTGGTGATTGCCTGACGTTGCCTTCCCCTGGTAGGTACCTCAGGAGAGCTGGGTGGGATCAGGCAGATCAAGATCGAGCCAGACGAGCTGGACATCATCCAGATCACCGTGCCAGGTAGGTGCTGGGGCTGCCTGTGGTGGCCTCTGCCCAGGCAGGGCTGCCCCATCCTGCCTCAGCATTTTGCTTTGAGAAGAGGCATTTGGAAGGTGTCTCCTAGCATGGAAGGTCCACACGTGGCCAAGGAATGGTCTTCCTCTGCTAGAAGTCGTTTTAAAGGGCAGGGCAGGAATGAGCTGGTTTCCTTGTAGAGCTTTTTGTTGTTCCTCTCTCCTTTGTGGCTTTTTATTTTTCCTTTCCCCTGGAGAAAGTGAGCCTGGCTTGCTGCTTTGCTTCAGTTGTGGGCTTGGAGGATCCCAGGTATTGAGCGTGGACTGCTTGTGAGGAGGTCCTTAGTTTAGAAGACCAGCCTGGTTCTGAAGAGTTTGTAGGAACAGGTTTAATAGTCAACCTGTGCTGAAAATGTGTTGGAGTGAGTGACACTGATGCATTTCCCCACACTGCTGCCCAGGGAGGTCACTGGTGATGGAGAGGAGCAGTTGGGTGCTTGAGGGGCAGCTGGGAGAGATGTTTTCCACTCACCTGACCTGGCCAGCACAGCAAATGATGATCCTCAGGGTTTAATGAGTGGATAGTTAGCACTTTGCATTTCCAGTGTGCTTTACAAACATTAATTAATAATCTCCCCAGGAGGAGGACAGCAAGAGGACTAGGGCCAGCAGTGCTGGGGACAGTGGTGGTGCCCAGCCCCACCACACCCTGTTGCACCCAGGTTGTAGCAGTCCCCTTAGCAGACAGATATTTAGGGGGTCATACCATACTTGTGCTGTGGTTCATGCAGGGGAAGGAGAAGGAATGAGGTGTAGTGGTAGGTCAAGCATTTTCATTTTCAACTTGGCAGCTAATGGAAGAGAAGAAAGCTAATACGTGGTGAGCTGGTGGTGTGTGGGAGGAGGAGGAGGAGGAGGAGGAGGAGGAGGTGTTCTCACTTCTCTGATGCTGGGTAGCTCATACTTCAAGTCCAGAGTCCACCTTCTCTTATTTAAAGCTTGTATTCAGTCAGAGGGAGTACAGCCCAGGGCAGGGAGGATTAACAGAAAGAGGTGTTCACCTACAGGGAGAAACTGATGAAATTTGGGTTATTTCTCCTGCGAGGTGATGGTTGAGAAGTGACCTGATTGAGGTATTTAAACTGGCTGGAGGTTTATTTAAAGCTAAATTTGGAGAGCTCTCTGAGGGCATTGGAGAGCCCAGCGTTGTGGGGAGACAGGTTAAAATGACAAGGACATAGGGATTACATAAAGGAAACCTGAGGAGGTGTGATTTTTGGGGAGGAAGGCAGCATTAGTGGGATGGCTTTCCCACCGTGGAGTCACTAAGTCAAGCAGCATTAACTTCTAAAGCCAAAATTGAGTTTCTGGATGGAATTAAACCAAGTAAATAATTCTGAACTATTTTTTCGCTTCACCTTCCGCAGAGGTTAGGAAGAAACTTTTGCTCCTTTCCTTTGGGCTGAGAGGTTGGGTGTGTTTCAGGGACTGATGGGCCAGCACCTTCTGAGCCCTATTTTGGGGCTGGTGCCCCCCAGCATCAAACCAAATGCTGCCCATGGGGGTTTTGTCCACAGACCGATCGCCGGGCTCGGATGAGATGCACGACCCAGTGCCCACACACGTGGCCTCAGAGGAGTCAAACTACATCCTAGAAACGGCAGCAGGTACCAGAAATGAAACTTCCAGAAGTCTGCAGAGGGGTGTGGGAGCTCGTGGCTCTGTCAGCAATGAGGAAATACCCTTCAGGAGCCAAGGTGATGGAGTTGGGAGCCACTCGCAGAGTCACAGCCTCCACCCGGCCAGCTGGGAGCTCTGAGACACAAACTGGTGGCTTCTCTGGCACCTCTGCTCCTTCCCAGCCCAAATCCAACCCAGTGGGCTGCAAACCCCAGTTCCTCCACCTGGCTCACCACTGGGATTTCCCTGGGGGGGGTGCACAGACCCCGTGGATGTGAGCGATGGGTTTGTGCTGCTCCTGCAGCTCCTGGCGTGGGGCAGGGGGTGGTTGGGTGACTGCAGGGGACCTGGGGACCTCCTGCTGCTGCCCAGTCTGGTGGTGCTGGTGCCAGGCACTGCTGACTCTCCCCTTTCCCAGCAGGGACAGAGAAGGGGCCTGGTGAGGAGCCACGACATGAGGAAAAGCAGATGGAGGGGTCAGGTGAGTGTGTGGTGAGCCCCTGGCACCACCCATCCTGCTTTTGTCAAGGGTGGATGAACACAGATGTGTTTGGTGTTTGGTTTTGGGAGCTTCCTACCTCCCCAGCAAAGCATTCAGCCTCTGAAAAGCTCAGCACAGAAAGGCACTGCCATCTTCCCAGGCTCCATCCTCCCCTCTCTTGCCTGGATTTGATCCGAGGGCTGGAGCAGCTCGGCTGTGAGGACAGGCTGAGGGAGTGGGGGCTGTTCAGCCTGGAGAAGAGGAGCCTCGGGGGGGACCTTATAGACACCTTCCAATACCTGAGAGGGGCTACAGGAAAGCAGGGGAGGGACTGTTCACAAGGGTTTGTGGTGACAGGATGAGGGGTAATGGCTTTAAGCTAGAAAAGGGCAGATTTAGGTTAGACATTAGAAAAAATTTCTTTAATATGAGGGTGATAGATCCTTGGAATAGTTTGCCCAGACAGGTGGTGGAGGCCCCATCCCTGGAGACATTCAAGGTCAGGCTGGATGAAGCTCTGAGCAGCTTGATCTAGTTGGAGATGTCCCTGCTCATAGCAGGAGGGCTGGACTAGATGACCTTTTGGAGGTCCCTTCTGACCCAATACATTCTATGATTTGCTTTTTCCCCTATTTTTTCCCTCCTTGCTGCTAGCACAGCTCAGTGCAGGTGCCTCACTGCCCTTCCTCACTCAGGGATGAGCTTGGAGGCACCTGCTGGAGGACCAGCACTGGTGTGGGAGGTGTGGGGAGCGTGTGGCTACTGGCCCAGGGCTAGGGGCTGCTAGCCTGGGGCTGTGCATTGCTTCCTCAGGAGGCAGCTGGTGTCTCAGGGCATTTCTTTCTTTCTTTTTTTTTTCTTTTTCAGATGGTATAGGGGATGTTTTAAGTCATTTGAGGAAACAAGTTGAGATTTTGTTCAACACGAGATACGGTAAGATGGTCATTAGCACATGTTCATCATGCCAAGTGCCAGCCTCTGCTGTGGGGAGCTCCTAATTGCTCAGAAATGTCACCTACCATTTCCAAACCAGCAGCTGAGTAAAGGTGCAATCTAATTTGTTCACTTGCTGTCTGCTGGGCTTACAAATGCATTTGAAATCTCCCCGGGCCTTGTTATTGCAGCTCTTCCCCTTGGTTTCCTCGATGCCTCTTTCCTGGCTCACAGCCCAGGAACTGCTGCCGTGATCTTCAGCCTCCCTCCCGCAGAGGGAAGGACCAAAGTGTTCCCCCCCATTGCTTTTTTGAAGGATCAGAGAGGGTTTTCCACCCGAGGTGGTCATGGTGTGCCTCAGGAGGTCTGGAGGGACCCCAGCCCTGGGGCTGGCACTTGGCATGCTCTGCTCACCCCTTTTTAGAAAGGTTGTTAAACCCAGAAGAAATAAGCTCTTTACTTTGAGGGTGGTGAGACACTGGCCCAGGCTGCCCAGAGAGGTGGTGGGGGCTCCATCCCTGGAGACATTCAAGGTCAGGCTTGGTGGGTCAACTGCTTTAGCTGCAGATGTCCCTGCTCCCTGCAGGGGTGTGGACTAGATGACCTTTAAAGATCCCTTCCAACTCAAAGCATTCCCTGAGTCTATAAGTACAGGCAAGGTCACACTGCATTTTGAGAGCTGGCAGAAAGTTTTTGCCACCAGCAGGGCTGGGGGATGTGACTCTGCCTGTCAGTCCCCAAAAGCAGAGGGGGCAGAGCTGAGCTGCAGCCCCCAGGCTCCCAGAGCCCCTGGTTTCCTGGGAAAGGAGGAGTTCTGGGATGCTCTTGGGCAGGGCTGGGCACTGGGGCTGCAGCTGGGGCAGCTGGCAGAGGGATGGCCCCAATCCACGGACTGGGAGGCCTCATCTGGACTCCGTCCTGGTTTCCCACCCTCACCAGAGAGTGCTGCCAGGCACTGGCTCCTTGCTTCCTTTTGGGCACTATTTAGCAGAGCAAGGGGAGCCCTCTCTGTGCTGAGGCTGGCAGGGCACCTGCTGGCATGTTCCCTGCAGAGGGATGGCCATGGAGGTCTGGATGGGGGGTCCCAGTGCCTTGTGGAGAGATGTTTGCAGCCTTCATAGGAAGCCTCTTTGATACGTGCCACCACAAGGCAGATTGCTACCACAGCAAATGCCAAAGCCAGCTCCTGCTGGCTGCCTGGCTCTGTCCTGCATCTCGTGTCCACCAGTGTCAGGGACATCCCTGCCAGGGACATCCCCACGAGGCACAGAGGGACAACAGACTCTCCCAAAACCTCCTCAGCACCCCCGCTGACAAATCCCAGGGCTGCTGCTTGGCTCCGACGTGGAGCTCCAGGAAACTAATGAGCTTTGATCCCCACGCAGCCAAAGCCATAGGAATATCAGAGCCTGTCAAAGTCCCCTACTCCAAGTTCCTGATGTACCCCGAGGACCTCTTTGTCGTGGGCTTGCCAGAGGGCATCTTACTGCGGCGTCCCAACTGCTTTGGGATTGCCAAGCTCAAGAAGATCCTGCAAGCGAGCAACAACATCCAGTTTGTCATTAAAAGGTAAGGGAGGTGGAGTGGCCATCCCCTGGGGAGGATGTGTCTGCTCAGAGCCCTGCCTGCTGGGCAGTGTCCTGGGGAACATCCATCACGTGGTCACCTCCCATAAATGTCCTTGATTAGAAGCAATCAAGGGTTGTTGCCATGTTGGGGCCATCCCTGAGAGACGGTGGTGGTGGTGGTGGTGTTGGCATCTCCCCCTCCACATCATTTGAGTTGTGAACCCACTTTTGCAAAGATTTGGCTGTAAAAGCAGGGAGCACTCAAGGGTGGGTGAAGGAGCCAAAGCCTTTCACCATGAGGGTGCCCAGGCCTGGGGCAAGGAGGGGCCTGGGAGCCCTGGGGGGTTTTCCTCTGGGAAGTGTCTCCAGCTGAGGTCCAGATGTGCAGGCACTGGAGAAGAAGCTGTCCTTGTCCTGAGGAGTGGGGGTGTCCCAGGAGCTGGGGGGGGCTGCGAGATGCCACAGCCAACACAACACAGCAGCATTGCTCTGAGAGAGGGAACAGGTCCAGCAGAGGTGGATTTTGGATATTTGGGGGTTTCCCACCCAAACGCTGCCTCAGCCTCCCTCGCAGAGGAGAGAGCTGGTGTGGCTGGAACAGAAAACAAACCTTGGGAGCGTGGGGGTTTGTGGCATCCCACCAGCAGCTCCCAGCCCAGCCTGACCACCCTTTGGGGTCTCCTGTCCCCATCCCAGACCCGTTTCTCTGTGATGCAG